CCCATGGTGTGTGTTAGAGCGAATATATATGTGTGTGAGTCCATCCGAGTATTTCGACACGATAACCAAGCAAGCTTTGACGCTGACATTTTGCCAATAGGTTCCCTAACCTTAGCGCCATCCCAGGAACGCGGTAGTAGCCTTCTTGCATGTCTGAGCGCGAAAGTTTTGGTCGGGAAATTTCTGACTTGGAATCGAGAAAAGCAGGAAGCTGAAGTTTTTAGTTGATATTCCATGTTCATGTACAACATAGAGATTTGAAATTCAACTTCCAGGTAAGCATGTTTCTTATATACGAACGCGTAAAATTTTTGACAGAAAAGTTGTTAATCCAAGAACTAGAACAGCTAAGTCATTTCCAATGAGCGATCGCTTATCGGAAATCTTTCATTTTCCTCTGTGCATGATTTACGGTAATTTATTACAATGAATGTGCAAGTTAAATGTGAAGTTACAACCACTGACAGCTAAGAAACTGGTTGCTTCTTTTAGCTCAAAAACGCACGATTACACCGGCAAGCTTGGTGTTTTGCGGCCTGGCTTATAGTTGGTACTAGCTCGCTTAGCTTTCAAGGATATGGCAAGTAACTACTCGTGCAGCCTACAGAAAAATCGAGCAGGTGATAAGAACTTGATTAGAAATATATAGGCCAGGATCGAAGCGCCGGACATAGTTGCACCCGGTGTTCCGAAGCATTCCGTTAACACGGGAAATCTACACAAATTGTCCCATGGGTCTTGGTAATTTCTGTGCTTTGTTTTCTGTTAAAGACTCTCGGTTAAGATGATCATTTTCATCACCAGCTGGCTGTTCTCAGAAGTGCCGTAATGGCTGGGTTAATGTAATTGAGGGGTTTCGGAGGTGAGAGGAAATTTGGGGGTGCTGTAATTTTGAAGTGTAAAAATAAGCAAACATTGAGCTGAGGCACTCATAAACAATAATTAATCACGCAATTGTCAGGATCGAAGAACCATCCTTTCAGTTAGAAATGAATGAGCGGAGATGAATGGATGATGAATGTGTTAATAGTGGCAGAAGCTTGCTGGAGTAGTAGATTCCATGCATTGTTAATTAAGAGTGCCGTAATCAATTTCTGGACAAAGGAGCCGAGGCCCACTCGGCCCAGAGCGGCATTAAGCGAAATTCCGCCAAGCGATTAGAGCTGATGGGCGGCGGCGACCACAGGCCGGTGCTTATGACCAGCGACGGTTTTCGCCCAAAATAAGAACTGTATAGGTATTATTTTGCAAATCACTTTTGCGAAATTTGCTTAGATTTGACATTCGTTAAATTAATCGTTTCTTTGTTATGCAGTCTAACCTT